AAACTATTTATTCGCTCATTAATACATTTGTTGGTTAAACTTTGGTTTCATATTTTGAATGACTGCTCTATCAACTTTCTGTGCAAAATTTTGTTTTCTTCCTCATTACTTTACCTATATTATTATTTATTGTAAGTTTCTCTGATTCAAGTTTCTCGTCAATTTAATTATGTAATAGCCAACTAGTGGCTATGTAATTTCTAAAAACAACCAAATGCAATCTAACCAAAAGCCTTAAATCTAGTTACTATGATTTTATTACATACAAAGTTTTTGGTTAGATTGTTAGCTGTAGTCTTGTTTTTGGTTATTGATGCCAAATCACCTAAATAGAACACGAGAATATTGAGTGGTGGATCAGTGATTAATTTTTAGTGGAGACAAAAACTTGTTGTCTCTGGATACTAATCATCCATATATTAATTGAGAAGACACTAAATGAAACATGTTATTCAATGAAGATTTTAAAGGACACATCAATTAAATTAACCTATTAAAACATTTTAATTAATTCTATATGCAATGTTAGAAATCTCTACATATTTACATTAATTTTTAACACGACCTCACAAATACATACATTACTAATTTAAAGACAACTTATATATAACATTTATATAACATAATGTTTTAGCGATGAATCACTTATCTCTTTATAAAAATTGTATTTATATCCATTTGGATACCATATATGATTGATCATATAATTTATTTGTTTTATATCATTTAATTGTATCCATATTTCTCTAATTAAAGTTGCGCTTTTGTTATAAACATACAACTTTAAAAATTAACCATTAATGGTTTAATTTCAAAACTCATCATTTTCACTTTTTATTATTTTTTTAAAATTTTATATAAGAAGATTTACATACCAACGCGATACTTTTTGGGTTTGATGAGCTCAGATAACCCATAATCTCAAACGTATTCAATTTACATTAAAACGCTTACATTTAATCTAAGTGTCATAAATATTATATTTTGTAAGATAAAATATATTTATCTATTTGGGAAATATACTTTGATCTTTTTATTTTTAATTTCTCCCGTATATTATAAAAAAATATAATTTTTTATTTTCAAATATTATAATTCCACGTTCGACGCGGGACAAAAATCTAGTAAAAAATAGATTTAAAGTTGCATTTTTAATGTTTTCCATATTCGTAATATCGAATTTGACACATATACATAGACACACTATATAGTATGAATATGAGTTATAACACAGCAATGAAACTAGTTTAGGAGTTCCAGCCAAATGAGTTACATTTCTTTATCTAATCATATTTCTTACATTATATATGTTATTCAT